GAGGGGGTAAGGGGAGCTCGAAAGAACCCCCCTTTTACACGGACGTTTTATGGTAAAGGTCCATTTTTTCAGAAAAAGAACCACAATGTTGAAATTGCTGGCTACGGGCCTGGGTTAGGTTAGGTTAAATGGGTTACTGTCTGATACGAACTGGTGTCTAGGAGAAAGTACAAAAATCCCACCGCTAAGTAAATAAAAGATACTAAAAACTAGAATAAATGAAATATAACGGTAAACGTTCGAAGATAAATTGCACTGTAGGTTATCATTAACTTAAATGACAGAATATCAAAATATGAGAAGAAATGGCAATTCACTGTGTGGACTATTTTGTAAAGAGTCGGTCTTTGTGCTTAGACTCCATTCTCATAGATCATTCTGCATAGATTGATCCAACTCTGCATGAATTCTCGCTTAGTGCAATCAGCTGAACTGAATGACACGCCCCCTCCTGGAGTTGAGTAAATCAGAAAAGCAGATCATTATACGAGTACTTTGGAAACAAAAGGAGGCGAGTCAATCAGTCAAGTCGGAGTTGGGTCGATCTAGTTAGCCTAATGGTATCTATGAGATTGTGGTCTAAGCACAAAGACTCCTAAATCCGACCCTGCTTCGTAAAAAAGTGCACAGGCACTATGTTGAATACTTCTTTCTATGCTGTCCCCGCTTTTTTCATATTTAATGCGAGTGAATAAATCATATCAACATACAAAATTCTTTTTACCTTGTTTGGCCTACATAAAATAATCGATAATCGTTCTGGATGATCATGCGTGCTACACTTTACAATACATCTCAGTAAAATTGGTGTCATTTTGCTCGCTGAAATATTTTATAAATGAACGGCCCAGATCTTAATCTCTTATTATGTCCATGTCTCGACCCACTTTAATATGGTAATCAGAAGGCTCGCCAACCAAGTCAATGTTGATTCTTTGTCCTCAAGAGACGATCATAAATTTTACTTTGACAAAATAATGACCAGACAGGAGTGGGCGATTTTTGTAAATTTGAGATTAGAAACATACATAAATGACCTGGTGATGTTATAACTGAGATTTATGAGAAACCACTTGATGAAATGTCCTCTCTCTCTCTCTCTCTCTCTCTCTCTCTCTCTCTCGTAGAGCTTATTTATTCGTTAAGCATTGAATTGACGCAGGTGAGTTGACCTAACTTGTAATTTACATTAACCTCCCAAAAACGTCTATTCAAATCTTTGATTTTATGGCTATAAATTCTTTAAATATGCAGTGGTTAGAAAGTTTTCATAAAACACACGAAGTTATGATTACATGTCAACCCCAATACACAGTAAATTTTGTGAGTTCATATGCAACGTTATTCATCAATCTTGGCTTTCGGGCACCGGTTAAAAATAATGCAAACTAATGCCAAGAAATGTGAAACCACCCATTTTCCTAGTCGAATGAGACGGAACTGAAATAGATGATAACATAATGGTTTGTGGATACTTATCAAAATACATTCGAAGCTCCTGGAAGCAGTAGATACTCGTGTTCATAAAGATTCATGGTACAAAATAATTGTTTGAGAACTATGCTATTATCTCCTGTCATATTTGGTTGTTACGCTCAATTCTCATGAAGGAGAGAGAGAGAGAGAGAGATGGTAAAACAGTATCAGCCTGAAGACGGAGATTTGTGCTAATATGCCATAGGGATAATCATTTGGGAGGAGGTCCACTCATAAAAAATCTTCACATCATTAGTGCCACAAGTGTCTACCAGTATATGCTGCTCTACTGGTTTAACCGGTAAATAAATGACGCCACTTGCATTTG